ATGTGTTGCTGCCATTAAATTCTAAGTTAATGGTTATTTGCAAAACAAAATAAAGTTTCTCCGTTCGAACATTTAATATATTGTCTTTGCATTCTATTCAGYTGRAYATGGGTTGAAAAAGATTTGCAAGTCATTGTATTTTGTTTTTATTTACGATTTACACAACGTGCCAACTTTTCTGGTTTTGGGGTTTGTACTTTAATTACTCTAAATTCTTTTAGTTAAACATAGACATGTTTGGTACCTACAGAAACATCAGAACCTTGGATAGAAGCTGGTAAAAACAATTTCTATAAACACACATGACATTTAAAACTACAAGCAGTTGAAGATAAAATGAAGAAAGTGAAAATAAAATTGGTTTAAAAATTTGGCAAGTCAGAGATGTTATATTATGTTATATTTATTATTTGTGTCAATTAGGAGGCATAATGTTTTTTTTGTTTTTGATAATGTTTAATTATCACTACTTTTATAGGGTTCTGTATGTTGTATTCATGATTAAATGCAGCAAAATAAACTAATTCAAGGGTAACAGATCTTTGTAATACTTGGTTTATTTATACAATAACTTTAATTGCTAGATGTTCGGCCCCTCAGCTGTTGACCGGCAGTAACTGTGGCCCCCGGAGTAATTTAGTTGAATAGCCCTGCTCTAAACTCTGTTGCCTGGATTCACTAAGACTGTGTGTTTTTTTTACTTTATTTTGTTCATCCTTATTCTCCATATGGGGTTCACAAAAGCAAACTAAACTGAAAATATACCACAAACACCCATTAAGTTCAGTAACTGGGAGCAGTTTGATATCTAAAGAATCAAAATCTAAAGACCGTGTTGATAGACCTGTGGGGCAAATCTGGACGTCTAAGCTAGAAAACGACCAACTTTCGCTGTTGGCTGGTTTTGCTGCAAGTTTTAAATTCTGTCCCCTCCACATAAATGAAAGAGACATTTCTGTTGGTAAAATGAAGGGGGAAAAAACATCACATCATTTTTTTCAGCTGTCAACTCTTACCGATGTAGCGAAAACGTGAATATCTTCTGAACAAGAGACAGACAAACTATTGTTCCTTTTAACTCCACCTTTTTCATTCTGCCTGCAACATCTCAAAGTTTGAATAATGACTCCTTCTCCTGTTATCTCATCTGATACTTCTGCCTTAGGTCTTAGAACAAAGACTAGACTTCCTGTTGCAAGTTAATTTGTTTATCACCTCTTTCAGAGTAAGACTGGAATAAACACTGTTTGACATTGAAGGGCCCCTGATGTTAAAACAAGAAGAGACAGAAAACATCAAAAGACTCCCATCAGATTTATCTGTGGGTCAGCAACGCCACCCTGTGGACATTTTATTTTGCACCGGTTGAACTCCTATTTAACCCTGAGAACATTTTATTTTTCACTCATGTTTTCCRTTTATAACTATAAAAAGCATCTGTGAAGTGTCAGAACAATACAGCAATAATCACGAAAGTGTTATAAGTCTGATTCATTCACAGATAGGCAAACGTATTGATTTTATTCAGTTAAGTGCTGTAGAACAGTGATCAACGGTCATAGCTCCGCCCCTGTGCAGAAATCTTGGAAAGGGGGAGTTTTGTGTGGAGTTTTAAAACTCCACACAAAGACTTTTTCATTGTTCTGCCATGTGCTCAGTTSTAAGAAGTTATTGAGGAGAGAGTAGCTTTTATTCCAGCTTCCCCCATCCCGGGTTGAGGCCATTCGTTTTTCCAACTTTATTTCCTTTTTGTAGTTTTGTTCTGAAGGAGCTTTAGGATTGAATCCTTTATTGATTGAATCGATGAGGCTGATTTAACTCAAGTCGGACGACCACGAGTGTGCCTGCAAGGAAAGCAGCCGCTGCGGTGCGCTGGACAACATCTCCAGTGAGTGTAGCCCGGCGATTCAGATGACCATGGAGCTTCTGCACAGCTAAGTCGCAGACTCGGTTGGACTTCATGTGCCAGCCCAATTAGCAGGGAAGTATCCATTCTGGCGTCTACAAGCTTTGCCGGTAGGAAATATCTTGCTTAATTAATCTGATGGAGTGTTCAAGGACTTAGATCAGACCAGAGAGGATATCAAGGCTCATTCTTCTTCCCCTGAGCTCCCTGTTTGTTTGCTGTAGGCTTAGGAAAGTTCTCGTTAGCCTGCTTAGCAATAGCGAGTTAGTGTTTCACTGAAATATGTGTAGAAAGTTGTTCACATGGTAGCCATGCCAGACTAATTACGTCACTTCTTGATCAAGTTTACGGAACTAGTGTGTTATTGTCTGAAAAATGACTTGTACATATACAGTATTTCCCTCTGAACCTCATTTTAAATAATACACAGATGAATTTCCAAATGTGATTTGTTTCCGTCTGTGTATTTTCTTGTCTCACGTCGTCATTAAACTGAAAGAATTAAACGCCCTCATATTCAGAGATTGAATWTTAAGAGAAAAGTTTTTCTGAAGTTTTACTACAAAAACTTTAGTGGTGCATCTAAGGTGAAATTAAACATTTCATACAGAGTTTGTTTAATTTTAGCGTTTAAAACCCCTACACTGAATTCCATACTTTTTACTTCACTTCTGTTATTTTTTCTGTCGGCTGCGGACATGAGCGGAAAAAGTTCAAAACTTATTTCTAGCGGCAGAAGAGGTTGGAATATGGCTGTTTAATTTATGCTTTAATATTGCTAGTACATTGCCATCAAAAATAAAAACAAATTTAAATAAAAATTTAATTAATCCACACATCTCTGTCCTCCATGACTGTGAAGCAGCAGAACCGTCCTGTGAAGAAGTGGGCAGAGTTTGGATTACGAGGAAATGAGCTGGGTTCAGGCTGGGGTGGGCTGGAGTCCGGCCTGTGACATCACAGGTTGCGACTCGCGGGATTTGAAAACTTGACATTAATATACATGAAGAAAACATTTACTTAGAGTAAAAATACCCCTGGGTGCATTTTTTTGGTCCTAGGACTGTTTTTTATGAAGTACATACCCAAAGTTGAGTTAAAAAAACCTTTAAAAGTGAATTTTGCATATTAGTTCCCTTTTAAAAAACATGACTATATGCAGCAGTGGGACTTATAGACTCACAGTGCTAGTGTACAGATTCTGTTTCCAAAATTACATCATGTCATCATGTCCATGTTCCATAAACAAGGATCTTGTGATTACGTTTCTTAAAATCAAGAGCAGGCACATTTGGTTTATCAGTAAAACATGCCTATGGACATACTGTATCATAGTTGTTCTCACTTTGGATTCAAGATGGCAGCGCTGATGTTTGGCTTGGCCACCACTGCCTCCTACTCACGCTTTTTCTTTGTAATTTTATGCCTTTTCTTTGTAATTTTATCTATAACGCTTAGTCCTACCTTTTATCCTTCACCTTTTTTGGATATTTCCGTTGCTGCAGTTTCTCAGCTACGATCGACAGTCTGTTGA